AATTTGATGCTTAATTTTTAATCTGATTGAAAATATACACTAATTTAATTTGAAACTTACTTGATTATTTTATTGGTTTACCCTCGGGTTTACCTATGTCAAGATTTAGTTCAGTTATATGCCTTATTTATTTCCTTCTCAGAATTATCAATTACTGTTTGCTAATTATTTTTGCAAGGTGTGTTTCTGAATTTTCACACTTCAATATTTTATGTCATTTAATTATTTATTTTTTATAAATACATAAATCTTCACTCTACCACTAGAAAAATTGAAATCAAAAGGGGAATCCGACAAGGTGACACTATGTCACCTAAGCTGTTCATCACAGTTCTCGAACATCTTTCAAAAAATTGCCTTGGCAGCGAAAAATAATTATCATAGATGGAGAAGTCTTAATAATCTTCGTTTTGCAGATGATATTGTCCTAATATCAGACAGTCTGGGCGATGCTAAAGAAATTCTCCAGGAACTTCAAAATACCACGCGAGAAGTGGGCTAAAGATGAACTTCTCCAACGACAAAATGAAGAGTAATATGATTCCCAGTGAGCAAATACAGAAGGGCAATGATAACATACAAATAGCGGACAAGTACGTATACCTGGCTCATAAGATGAGAATTCACATAAATAACCAAACATGCGAATTTACTATAAGAATAAATAACCTTCGAATGGGTAGCATGCGGAAAATGAGGGATATCCTTAGGGCTGACATTCCAATATCCCTGAAACGAGAAGCATTCAATCAGCGTGTCTTCCCAGTTCTGACCTATGGTGCGGTGACATTGACTCTCAGCAAAGCACCAGCAGAAAAGTTGAGAGTAACACAGAGACGAATGGAAAGATCCATGCTTGGATTTACTTTAAAAGACTGAGCAAGGGATATTGAGATCCGCATAAGAACTGAGGTGGACGATATTGTAGAACGTATCGCAAAACTAAAGTGTAAATGGGCAAGATCTGAGAATGAAAGATGGAGGAAGAAACTCATTGAGTGGATACCAAGAGCTGACAAATGAAACCGAGGAAAACCTGCTTAGACCAGAGGCAACTGGAATATTTTAGAGGAGGCCTACGTTCAACAATGGACGTAAAAGGCGGCCGTTTGATGATGATATTTCAATTGGTTGCGCTTCAGCCAAGTTATTTTTAATTCTTTGATTTACTGAAAAACTTGGATTTGTATTTGAAGAATCAATTATCAACTGAAAACTAGGAGGGGGAGGAGGGGGGAGTGAGGGTTTGCTAACAAAAGTCTGTATGATCACAGTGATGTGATATAGGCTATTTTTTTTTGTTCGTTAGAATTTCTTTGTTGGCTAGGAATTTTCTTATTATGGGCATTCTCAATAGGATCATTTTGTCTAGGGCTATTCTGATTATGGAGTCTTTGGCTAGGATAATTTTGTTGATGAAAATTACGACTGGAAAAATGATAATACTTATTACGGCGAATTTGGAATTTCTCGCAAAATTCTGTATTCCAGAGTTATTGAAATATCTTTATCGGCAAGAAGACAATTGGTCATTAGCTTATTGATTTTGTTCAGAATAACGAAGTTTTCTACATTTCTGTTAAGGATTACTACTATGGCAAATACACAAGTTTTGACTTTGCCCTTGATTGAAATGTATATTTCTATTTCCGAGAATCTTAACTAGATTCGAATTTATTATTTTGTTCAAGCTCGAGTTCTATTGCTACTGGAATTATTACTTTATCTAGATTTGTATCTACTATAGATAATTGAGTTTTTCCATCATGTAGGCCCTTTCTAAAATTAGTTACTATTACAAATTTTAAACATACTGTAGCATTCGCGCCAAGTAGTCTATTATTTTGGTTAGATGATAAATTGCAAGCGGTCGTATTTGATGATAATTACTTCCTTGGGCAGCTAACTTAAAATAAAATTGTGACGGGGCGAGTCTTTATGCAAGTAAGAGAAAAAACTGATGTACGGTTATCCATTTATAAGTATACTTTATACTTACAGTCACCTCTTTACTATCTCTGAGCTCGTAAATAAAATGTCACAATCAAAAACCTCGACTTAAATAACTCTTCTATAGAGCCCTACTACATTACGGTACAATATTTTTAACCCTAACTCCTACACGTCAAAACATCACAATATTAAAACGTCCAATTCTATAAGCGTATAAAAACCCCTGATTTACTTACTGCCAAATTTGTACAAAGCTGTACTCAAAATTGAAAACTCAGCCAGAGTGAATATTATTACAAAACATTAAACATGTTAATCGATTCTTTAGGATTTATACTTAGACATAACAATACTATATCAATTTAATATTACGAATTTTATTTAAATTCTTCTAATCAGATAGACCTCAAAATCTGTAACTACATCATTATTTCAAGGTTCATTACTTCTCTTTATTAGACAGAGCTCGGAGATTCAATAGTCATTAAAATTTCCTATTTATATTATGCAAAAAAATATATTCAAAAGTTCACTTAGGTTAATAACATATTTGCAAAGTCCCATTGTCAATTCACTTACTTCATAGTCATTTTAACATTGATAAAGTCCAATAAACATGTCACTAGAGTACTTACATTCCGTCCTTAAATCACTAAACTATTCTAAATTCTGTTGATTATTTAGAGCTCGCACATAATGTTGAACGAATTTAACTGTTCTGTCTTTCACGATTTTCCGATACTTTTTTCAAAGATTCGATTTAGCGCGTGTTCCCGAGGCAACAAAATAAAAGAAACTCTTCACGAATTTTATCCGGTGTCCCTCATTAGGTACTGTAGACTGAAGACTCTAAGTTGAACCGATGCCTGACCTGATTCCAAAATTCCGAAACCGCTGATTTCATATTTTTCGATGCTCCCAAAAATTTCGGGTCATGTCCATTGATTAACCCTCCCCTTTTCTAAGAAATATAATTATTTGTCTAAAACCGTATATGTCGCAATTTCCTAGATTATCGGGGTCAACAGATTTGAAAGAATGCGAGGACACCTAATTCAAAGAAAAGCAGCACTCGTGCCGGCCGTAATTCATCATTTTATTATAATTCTGTCACTTTGGGACTCAATTTAATTACTTGTTTTTAATCTTTTCTGGGTTTTGATTTATGAGTTCAACGTGATGACATACGTTTGATGACTGGCTATTAAAATTTGAACGTATTTTAGATATTTCAATTAATTTTTGTCAATGCTAAATTAAGAAAATTAAAACGTTTCTTCTAATATGGAATATTGGAGATTTAATTTACATCAGATTATTTGATTCAATTTACATTATTTGATTACATTTGAATTTACTGTTTTTGTATTTTAAGTCCTTGTTAATTACGGGTCTATTTTTCCCGGCTCATTAGGTACAATACATTAACATAATTCAAGTTATAAGTTTATGTTCGTTTAAAAACTTTTGGATACCATCTCGATATTCTTCTATACATTCTCTATAATTTTGCTCAGTATTTGTTAATAAGCTTAAGAAATAAGAAGGAGGTATTTCGCCTGTCAAATGTTTTAGGAAAAAGTCTTCAATATCTTCCCAGGTTTCGAAGTCTTTATATTGAGTCACCTCTTAATATAGTTTTAGTACGTATTTATTGAAAGCTTATTCGCAACTTAATACTAAAAGGTTTTCCGAAGAAAATAATGACAACAGGAAACAGTATGGATTTACTTTATATTTATTAATCCCAACACTACACAGACTGTCACAAACCAACAGGATTTACCCAAGAAATTTCATATCCCAAATCCATCCACATCCGTCGTCAAGAACTAATTCTAAAAAAATCTCGCAGATGAAATTTAATTTTGATTCCGAATGTATCATATAAAGTTTATGATTGGGATTCGAGTTCAACTTGTTCTATTCATCAATTTATTGACCAGATAAAATTCTGGCAAAATTCCAATGGCTTATTTAACATATTGTATACTTTGTATTCGTTCCGAACAAGATTTACTACCATCAATAAATTTATAGCTGGTCGGAATAGCAATTTTGTTGCCACTAACGTTATGGAGTTCTTTTGAAATACGTGGCTCTATACAGGAAGCTATATTCAGCTAGAATTTTTCATGAATACATTATTTAAAATTACTCATCAATCAAGCTTAAATGTTGAAAAAAGTCTTGATTACTCAGGTTATATGCGGAAGAGATGGGGCCGGAAAAAAAAAAGATGCGACGCCTTTAATCTTAATCTTTTGAATTTGAAATCGATATTAAACATCAAAATATCTCAGATTTATCGTAATGTCAAAAAGTTTTGCTTTGTGACTACCGCCAGTTTAATTTAAAATATTCTTGCCGTCAATAGTAATTAGCCCCCTAATGACCCCTAACAAGTAACTAGCAATTCTGAATCAGAAACTAGTTGGGCATATTCTCCCTGCTGATGAAAATTAAAGGTCAAAGACCAACGTTCTCCTATTATACCATTCAAAAGTAAAATCTAATTAATCTAATCATGTCTGTTGAAACTTGGGTCATTTCTCTAGATGTTTTAGATACTAAACTAAAACTAGCTATAATTCGTTAACAATTAAATTTCACTTTTGTTTCTGTGAATTCGAGAACTAAATATACTTTCGGCTAAATTAATACCTCAGAGTGCCTTTCGGAACCGTTTAAAAATCAATAAATATCCTTTTCGAAAGGGGAAATTGGTTATTGAACTAGCGCAACTTAATCTTAGGTTTAAAGACGGAAATTAAAACATAGATATAGGAATGAAATATGTAAATTATGCTAATAGAAAGTAGATAAAATCCCAAGGAAAAGTATATTGAACGATAAGATTTTATTTATTTTTAGTACATAAAGGAAGCTTGGCTTACTTATCCCTATCATTGCTGCGCGTTCAAATACCCGAAAACTCACGATCCACACGAGTATGAAAGACACGTGAATAGTCAAAAAAGATTGCAAGAGGCTTGTAAGAAAAATAAGTCTATTATCAGGTAATATATATACAACGAAGCTATATTTTTGGAATACTATTTGGTTTATAAATTTTTAGTTGGTCGGCACTACATTCTTCCAAATTAATAAACTACACCGAAGAAGACGACGAAGATATTTGGGGTGGAGATAGTGGCGTTTTCCACGACGTCGCCAGAAAATTTTCAGTTAAACCTTCCTGTAATGGTGCTCAAGTAATGGATTTTATGGAGGTAAGTTTTCTTTGAAAAAGTTATAATGAGAATCCTCATACAAATTCTCAGTGCATTCTTAAAAAAAGTATGTATGTATATTTGCATTTTTATTATTTGCAGCTTCTAACGTTATTCTCACAAACATCCAACGAAGAGAATTGCATAAAATGAAATATAAAACAGGAAGTATCAAAACCTCAGGGGTTATTTTTATTCGAGCGTGTAATTATTGCTTACGTTTTCCTCATATCCGCATCCATATTTATTTGTTTGAGCAAAAAGGTGCCAATTAAGATTTATCAGAGAGATGATAATAAGTATGTGAAATAAATGAGGAAAAATAAGATAAATATATCATTTACAAAAACAGTGGTAGGGAATGGGTCTCTGAATTATCATTTGGCATTCACCTTTAGTTTTTATCGACTCGAAAGATTATGTTCTGGTAAAGATTCGTTGCACAGAAATTACTCGGTAAGGAGAAGGACCAAATTGTATGACAGTAACTTGAGTAGGTATACAATTGTCAGTTGAATTCTCAAATTTTGGAGCACATTAAAAAAAATAACAAGCATCTCAAAGTGAAAGTAAAAATAAATTGAACCTGATTTACTAATAACCATTAGTGATTTGTGCTAAATGAAATGTTACTCAATACTTTTTTTTTCAAGGTTCAATGCTCTCCCGAACCAGACGCTTTCAACCCCTGCGAAGATCTAATGGGAAACTGGGGTCTTAGGATTCCCGTTTGGATCATTGCCCATTCAGCAGTTATTGGCAACTTATTTGTTTTGATTGTGATCGGTACTTCGCACTTCAGGTAAGTCTAATTCTTGTTCATATACCTTTATAGAAAATTTTAATTTTTTTCTTCTAAACGAAGAAATTAGCAGAAAAATGAAAAGTTGAGGTTTATAAACAGCATCCAAAGAACTTGAAAACGTAAATGAGGCACTCCGCTTAGCAACTGCTACTAAATTCCACGAAAGTTTGTCATCGAGTTCAGCAATTATCGTGAGATTGATGCAAATTTAAGTTCAGCGTAAAGTAATGAAAATAAATTGTTGTTGAAACGTTAAATTGGTACATCGAGATTTTACATCGGCGCAGCCGGTAGGATTTGTCAACATGAGCAGAACAATGGAAACTATCTGTCAACGGCGGGCTATCATCCCTTAAATGAGAAATAAAGTTGTACTTCGGAAATTCAATAAGCCCAATAAGTGCTATTGAGTAAGAGAACAATACGCAAATTAGAAGGGCTCTACGTCGAGCTATAAATTTTGAACGAACTCGACTCTCGACTTTTTCCAGAATAACTCATACATTTAACTCTTAAGTGCACACGTGGGGGTACAGAAGACCCCAAGAGTTTTCTTTTGCCCACAGCTTTTCAATAGGTTTGGTACCATCGCTTAAATTGCAGGTACCTTCCGAGGACAAGTCGGACTGTTAGTATACGCAAAGTCGCCGTGATGCGCAATACCATAAAAAAAAAATTGATAGTTTGTTATTAGACTCCCACGTGTTTATCAACATTTGCTCGGTGTGCCGAAGAAGCAAAAATATAAAAGACAAAATATTTTTGTGAGAAATGCCGCGAAAAAAGTGCCTAAAACATATGAAAAATGTTTGCGAACAATGTCTTGCCGAAACATTTGATGAAGATTCAGAATGATCGGAGGAATAATACCTACCTTATGTTCTAGCATGTATTATTAACATTTTTGTTTGCTGCAAATATTTTTTGAGTTTTTGAACTTGAAAGTTTATTTTGGTTGTTTATTATACTAGTATCTATGAGAAAAAATAATAAAAATGTAACTAAAACTAATAGTGTTGTTTTGTTACAAAAAAATACAGCATAATGGTGTGTACCAAAGTTTTAAGCTCCCACGTATGCACTTAAGGGTTAATGACAAAAACCTAAGCAACGAATTCGAATAATGCCCAACAACCTTAGACCCAGTTCAAATCCTATTATGCAATTCAGCAATTTCAAGTCAAATACATCCAATATATCCAATAATCCAGAAAGGCCTAAACTATCAACAAAACCAACACATAGCCCACTATATGAACTGAAACTATTAATTCCCTGAAGATAAATCTTACAAATATTATGCAGGAGTTTATAGATAGTTAGTGATCCAGCTTATATTTGAAATTGAGTTTTGTTGGGCTTAGGTTCAAAATTATAAATTTCTCTAAAGCCGAGGTTTCGATTTATTTTAAATCATCATTTATACATTGGAAAAGTCAATAACTTTTTTGCCCTTTGGAAATAAAATTATTAGCTTATAAATACTTAGTTAAAACCATCGGGTAAAACCTCAACCTCAAAAACAGTTAGGTTCCTACACAACTCGTGTGCTATGCACTCATTGTACAACTTTCACACGCGTATTTTAATGATGCTATTAGCTCACTTGTACCGTAAATATCTATTATTTTATCGAAATCCCCATTCAAAAAAACAAACGTTAAACGCTACGATTTCAATAGGGTGCAAACACTGCAAACGCTATCCTATGATATCCTTTACTATGTAGATTGACAGGAATATTGGTAAACAAGGATACCACATCCAAAGATACTAAAATATAATTTTCAGGCTTTTTTTTCCATTTGAATAAATTGCGACAAATCAAACGAGTTCCTGATATAGTATTGGTCCTTTTCAAATGCTGAGCACAATATTTGAGACATCCATTTCGAAAGCGAATATATTGGTGAGCCAATAACACTGACAATGGGCCGTGAAGGTGCATTTTCCTTATGGATATTAGATAGGAAATGCATTTTAGAGCTATAAAGTTTTTTTTCAGAAGATCCATGCTATCATCAAATTGTTGAGTGCTGTTAAAATTGGTAATTTTGTTTATGCAAGCATTTCTTTTATTCACCTTTTTTTCTTGACATTCAATTTTAGACAAAACATATTCGACGTCAATTTTCATATCTTTCATTGGTATATTTTTACAATCAAATGGCAACTTGAATTTCTTACCCAAGCTTAGAAGGATTTTCACATTTTCAGAAATAATTGTGTTAGTTAAATTTACCAGCCACTTATCATTTAAGGAAAAGTAAATAGGTTTTCTCTGTTCTTTAACCAAGTTGTTAAGTTCCCTCAATAGACCTCTTGCACTCAATCAAAATTAGGTATATAATTTATCTGTAACGAAAGTGTATTTTATGTACTGCATAACAAACGAATCTTTTTTTTTTCTTTTTGAACACATCGGACAAAAAAGGAGGCATATATTTATCAAAATCGCTTTGCGTATCGACTTTGCTACAGCTCTACTTTTGACTTGAAGCTTGAAAGAGGAGAACGACATCTATTAATTGAAGTATCGACTAGTATCGACAATTTTCTTTCCTTGTCTATGAATGCGAATTAAACAAAGAAATCGATATCTGTACTAATCCGGCACAGTATAAAGTACGAAAACGATGAAAGCAATTTTTGTTTAACATAGGTCAGTGACCCCTGGCTGGCCAATTTATACTATACCTATCATCACAAAATAAACTAATTAACAACAAAAAACAGTAGGCTGGGGCAGTATAATTTGAATAAAAAAGAAAAATGATGTTTTTCCCTGGGAAAATTTGAAAAGGTCTTTAGGGAAACTGGAAGGTATGGAATACAGACACATAAAAATTATACTCGTGTTTTATTTCTCATAAACCACTTAGAAAAATAATCCCAATTATCTTTAAAAAAAAAACAGACTTTAGGTACTCGGTAGATAGGTATTAATAAAAGGCAGGTGGAGTCCCAAGCAGCAAAGGGTAGTTGAATCAACGTTGATTAAAGATTGATTGATGTCGTAGGCGTTGATATACCAAAAATAAACGTTGAATGGGCATTATGAAAACAACGTATTAGTCAACGTTTTCTAAGCAAAGTCTATTCAACGTTGAATATAGGTTGAAGGAGAAATTGCAATTTTGAAAAAAATAATTCAAACCCATCGGTACCAAAGTATCTAGACTAGGTATAGCAACTTTGAATAGTTATATCACTGGTTTTTCTCTGTTTGATTTAGCCCATCACTAGATGTTAAATAAACGTTGAATGGAGGTTCAAAAAATGTTTTTTGAAATAAATATACGTTATTAGTAAAATTTAAAATATCAATAAAAAACCAGATATTTATTATTATATATCTTAATGAATGCAGGTTTGATGTTTAAAGTTCCAACATTCGACGTGAAATAATATCATATAAGTTCCTCAAAAGTAGATAAAGTGGTATCTCTTCATGCAAATTCATTCAAACTTCCCGCTAAAGTGCATCGCGTCCCGCCATTTGCCGCCAGCGCCCTCTGAGCCCAACCTGTGGCGTGGCCCAGCCCATCATTGCATTAGCTTTTGGCCGCTGGCGTCATCACGTTCATCGCGTCATCCTTCCTATTCACTCACGTTTTTGTTGATTTTATTATTTTGTGTAAATTTAAAATTATTGAATGTGTAAAAGGTGTTATTATTTTTGTCATTGTGTGTTTATTAATGTGTCCAGCCTGGATTGGTGGAAAATGGTGGTAGGCGGAAATAATTCCTCAAAATTATAGAAACCTTTTCATACTTTTCAATTCAAATTTAGGAGCAAGCAAGCCAGTTGAATTTTAACAATCTTCCAAATAATGTTTTATTTTTATCAAATTTGTGTCCCCTTACTGTTTCGAAATATTAAATTTTGTGTCGAAGAGCTTGTGGTTTGTGTTTATTTAAAAAATGTGTGGAATAAAGTACCTATAACCTCAAACATTTTGGTGATTTTATTTTAATTGAAAACTGTTCTGCCAGAGCCAGCTATAGAACAAGTTTCATAAGACGCAATTTGATATAAAATGTCTTATGAAGCATGTTTTTTGTACTTTTTTTTCTATTTCAACTTGTAAATAAAGGTTGAGCTCAACCTCAGGCTCAACGTAAAGAGAGAACTTGTGAGAACTTGAATAACTACTTTGTAAATGTGGCAAAAAATTTAATGACCACTATAGCTCCTTCTCGCGATCCGCTTTCATATCTTTCCAGTACCAATATGAATTTACACAGTTTCTTCCTAACACCCGTAGAAACACTAGAGCTTTTCAGCACAATTAAAGACATAAAAAACAAAGTGTCATCTGGGACTGATGGACTAACTTTAAAAATGTTCTTCAATTTACCGGAGTGTACATTAAATCTCCTCACTGCTTTAATAAATAAATCTTTTCAACAAGGAGTGTTCCCAGATTGCCTCAAGACGGCTATAATTATTCCTCTGCACAAGGGAGGTGATAAGGACCAAGAGTCGAACTATCGTCCAATTGCACTTCTTCCTACTTTATCCAAAATCATTGAAAGATTGGTTAAGAAAAGGCTTCTATCATTTCTGCATAAATATAATATACTAACTATCCACCAATTTGGATTTTTAACCAACAAATGCACTATTGATGCTATGTTCTCTGTCTTCAATAATGTCTTCTCTAGCTTGAACAATTTGCACTCCACAGCATCAATTTTCTGTGATTTTTCTAAAGCATTCGACTGTGTAAGTCATAATATCCTAATTAACAAATTGCAGCATTATGGAATTCGAGGCTCTCCTCTGGAATGGTTCAAGTCGTATCTTAACAACAGAAAACAGCTTGTGAGGGTTGATACGACGACGTCTTCAGGCAAGCCAATAGAATGTGGAGTTCCACAGGGTTCCGTGTTGGGTCCAATATTATTTTTGCTGTTTATCAACGATATTGCTAGTCTAGACATCAGCGGTAAAATCTGTCTTTTTGCTGATGATACTAGTTTCACTTGGAGCA